AAAAAAAAAAAAAACAAAAACAAAAGATAATATTCATGATAAATGCATTACAAGTGAGAATCGTCTCGACCTTTACAATCTGAAAATAGGTCGAGAACAACAATAAGAAAGAAACACAAGAAAAACTTGCGAAAAATAAAAGGCGACAGCCTCAAGATACAATCCTAGGAGTCGGCATCTGACTTCTCAACATCATCTGCGGCACCATCGACTATGGTCGCAGTTCGCTCAGTACCAGCGTCTCCCTCATCGCAGTTGTCGGCAAGCGGCTCTGTCCCTTGGGAATCGACATCTCCCTCCCGGACCTCTCCCTCAAGGTTAGCCCCACTCGGCTGAACTAATTCAGTCGGACCGACCAAGGGGGTGGGAGGGGCCTCGAGTTGGCGACGTGAATGGCCTTGGCCTCGAGGCCAGACCACCACGGGTAATCATCCGGGAGGGATGTGTCACCCTCATACATCACGGTCGGGGAGCGCCCGCCTCATTGCCTCGCGGTCGAGTTTTCCGGCAAACTCAGACCCCGCCACCTTCGCCGCCCATGCATCGAAGGCAAAGACGGAGCTACACGGGGCCCAGGGGGGTCCCTGGGCCCCCCTCATTTTTTTTAAAAAATGAGTATATATATATATATATAATATGTATATAAATATAAAAAATATTTACAATATATTAATAATTAAACTTATTAAAAATCAATATCAATATATATATATATAACTAAAATAGTATAAAATATGTATAGAAATGTAAAAAATATTTACAATATAGTACTAATTAACACTTATTTGATATGCTATTTTTATTTATGTTATTGATATTATTTATTTATTGAAAAATATAATAAAAATCCTTATATTTTAAATTTTAAGATAAGTTATTGAAAATATTTATAATGATTTACTCTTTTGGTCTTTTGATTATAAATCGATTTAGTGATTTATAAAATCGAGTATTTATTGATTGGATTGTTACAATTTTTAATGCTAATTTTTTACTCTCTTTTTTTTTTTTGTGTAATCACATATTTTTAACTTTATTTATTTTTCTTAAAAAAATATTTATTGGATAAGCTTTCATCAACAAAAATGCTATGAAATGTTGTGTAAAAAATCAATTTAAATTAAAATTTCAACCCAAAAACTTATTTTTTTCGATGTTGCTTTTAAATATAAATACTTGAAATCTCTCTTCTTTTTTTTTTATTATGTTTGGGGGTGATACAGTTTCTAAGTTTTTAAAAACTTGTGGTACACGTATCAATATTTATAATTATAATAAATATATTTTTATATGAAATGAGTGTTTCGATTTAAACCAAAAGCCCGTTTAATATTTAAAGTCGGGCCCCCCTGAATAAAATTTCTAGATCCGTCACTGATCGAAGGTATGATCGAAGTACAGTACGGCGGCAGGGCAAAGTCTGTTGAGAAACTCAGGCGAGTTGCAGAAAGCCTTAACGACTTCTTTGCCTCGACGAAGACGGAGCCCACGACAGACTTCAGGAACAACTTCCGGCCCTGGACGATGCCAATATCCCTCTCGAACATGACTTAACAATTTCGGATTATTCTCTCTTGATCAATTTTTAATATTATTCTCTCACAATTTACTAGATGGGCCGAGACGGGCCGAGTCGAGCTGCATCGGGTCAGGCTGACCGCTATCCACCTCAAACGTCCCAAACCTATCAAACTCATCTATTATAAATGGATCATGCTACATCACCTCAAACGTCCCAAACCTATCAAACTCATCTATTATAAATGTATCATGCTACATGTTCTCCTTCGCGTACCATGACAGAAGATTTCGGAATTGTCTCAGAAACCACCACACATCTTCTAATTCCCGATAAAGGTCGGTCGCCACATATGAGCAACAACGACGATGCGGATGTGATGCTTCTGGTGCGGTATTTACACGGCGCAACCCTTGATTGTTCAGTAATCTCAACCCAAAACAACTCCTTCAAAGTGCTTGATGATGGTAATCTTTCAAGCTTGTCTCTGCTCAAAGAAGATAACTTTGATCCCTGTATGAGGCGCCCCCGTTTTGATGTTTATGCTACTTGCAACTCATGGATGCTGTATGGTTCAAATATTCCTGATATTCCATTTGACTCTCTGTGGAACCCCACCACCGGCGAGAATGAAAAGCTTCCCTTTTTTTCTTTTTGTTCCGGACGTTTGTCGAGCCCTTGGGCTTATGGGCTCGGGTACGATCCGGCAGGGGACACCTATAAGGTGTTGAGATGTCGTGTGAGGGATGATGATTTAATTGAGAATGAGTTTGGGAAGCTCTACGTTGAGCTGTTGTCGTTGTCCGCCGCAAGTGATTCGTGGAAGCAAATTTTATGTCCTCACAACCCCTTTCAAGTTGGACCCTTTCTACAACCTTCTCTTTACATCAATGGCTTTTATTATTGGGCAACTTATGAGGGTAGCTTTGTTTCGTTCGACTTTGCTGCGGAGAAGTTTGGGCCTCTGATACCCAAGCCCGAGAGCAATAATCTCGACCTCCTCTACGAAGGCACTGTTTATCCTGGTGAGTATGATGCCTCGCTTGCTGCTGTTGTTTTCTATGTCGAGGATCGTCAATTTCTGAAGACCACTGATCCTGTTGCACCTTTTGTTTTTGAGATTTGGGTGTGGAAAGAAACCGCCACGTGGTCTCTGGTGTTCACAGGGGAAATCCCGGCTTCAGATGATGCTTATGTTGTTAAAGTTTTGGGCCTCTACCAGAACTGTAAACTCTTTCTTTCCGACTCCTGTGGTGACCTACTGGTTTACGACTGTGAATCGCGTGGATTGGTGAAGGTGAATCTCGGTATCCGTGACAAGTCTCCGGGTATGTTGGAGGTCTTCCCTTATGTTGCCAACGCCGAATCCAGCTTCAAATCCTCCTCAAGAAATCTCTGGTCTCGCGACACAACCACTAGTGTCGATGGTGTTCCTGCTACTATTCGGGCACATACTCGCCGTTTGAAACCTAACGACAGTCTGATGCTTATGGTGCAGTGTTTAGTCGACTGGACCCGCACTTTCTATGTGATCTCAACAGCAAACAACTTGTTCGAAGTTCTACAAGGTGATGATAAACATCTTCCAGATTTGTCTCGACTCAAAGCTGAAAACTACGATGTGGATTGTGGGAATGCCAAATATCATGTCGAAGCGAGTTGCAACACATGGATGTTGTGGTCATGTAACGTACCTTCGGATCGTCTGCTTCTGTGGGACCCTAGGACAGACGTGTTTGTAACCCTTCCTTCTTTTGTGTCGGAGCCACGCTCGCCTTGCCCAACCAGCATTGCCTTGTGGGGTTTCGGTATTGGGTTTGATCCTTGTGCACCTGGGGACTATAAGGTGGTGAGATGTCGCACGTTGGAGTATTTTCATTCCGACAACGAGGCCTACGCGGAGGTGTTTTCGCTTGAAACTTGGAATCAAATCCCGTATCCCCATGATCTTGTGTGGAAAGTCTATCAGCACCCGTCGCTTTTCATCAATGGCTTTTATTATTGGACGGCACAGCATTCCACCACAGAGGATGTTGCTATAATTTCGTTCGACTTTTCTAAGGAGGAGTTTCCCCCTGCTCTCATCCCTATGCCCGGTAGCATAGTTGTCAGAGACATCACGATTTATTGTGTTTCTCTTGCTGAGTATCATGGGCATCTTGCTGCTATTATTTTTGATTACGGCGGACAGTATGATAAAGGAATGAATATTAGTTATCCAACGAACAAGAACAAGAACAAGAAGAAGAAAAACAACAGCGACTCTTTTACTTTTGAGATTTGGGTATGGAAGCACAGCTGCTGGTCCCTTGTATCCACTTACGAAGTCCCTCCTACTCCTACTCGTGTTGTTTTTATGAGGGTCATCGGCCTCTACAAGAAAGTGTTTCTTCTTCAGGACTGGCAGGGTTACCTATGGCTTTACGATCGTAAGACGCTCAAGCTGGAGAACCTCGATATCCGTGACAATAGTTTGACTCTGACAGTCTTCCCGTATGTTTGAGAGCGATCCATCTACATGTTGACGTAAGTGAGGTCTAGTAAACGTGGTTTTGTGGCTAGCAGCACAACACTTTAAGAAAGTGTGGTCTATTATAATCTTATTCATGTCCTATTTATTGCAACCCATGCTTGGTGTGGAGAACTTGTCTTGTAGTATTTAATTATCTCATCTTATTTTCCTGAACTGGAAACTCGCTCGATAGTGCTTGATGGACTCACATTCCGTTCAGTCCCTTTAATACAAGAAGCGGATGTTTATGCTGACACATTATTAACTTCACACTAGTAAACAACGCTCATCAGCATCCACACAATAGTAGTTGCAGATTGGTAAACAACATGCCTGACACATGATGAAACATAGCTTTAGTGCGTAGTATCATTTTTCGAGACAGGATTTGATAACGACTATGTAGTTAGTTAGATGATAACAAATTGAGGATCTCTGTGCATATTTATGGGCCTGTGTTTTAGCATTGTGCACTACTACTTGCCATCCAAGACTCAACATGTCTGTTTGTGCCTCTAACCATTAACATCAGAACTGATGCTGCAAAGTCTCTTCACTTAAAAATAACTTATTGGTTTATGCCGTGATAAATTTTTCTTTCCCAACCTGTATTAATGATTTTGCCTTGCTTTCTTGAATTGAATTTCGATGTGCATTCCTTATATATTTGCTATATAGTCTTTACAGTTACTTCTTATATATTTGGTATATAGTCTGTACATTTATTTAAAGATAAGACAGCAAAAATGTTTCTCAAATGTGATTCTTTGTATGTTGGTCATGCTACCTGTCTTGTGATCCTTATCTTGTGTTGGAGTGTGTGTCGTGTTGAGTGGAAAGTGTTTTCCCTTATTTTATAATCTAATCTTATTTTCCTCAACTAGTAATATTTTTATATTTTAGATTTTTATTAAACATATATGTAAATATATAAAAAATAAATAAAATTTCATTAAATTTTAGATATTTTATTAAAAATACTAATTAAATATATAAAAATATATAATAAAATAATATTAAATTAATGTTCGCGAACGTTCACGAACGAGCTCGTGTTCGTTCGATTATTAAACGAGCCTAATTTTCTGGTCGAACTCGGCTCAATTAACAAACAAACGAACTTTTGTCGAACTTGAACAAGCTCGAACAAAATTTTGTTCAGGAACGTTCGGTTCGTTTGCAACTCTAGCTGTGAGCTTTCATCAACCCTCATCTTGCAGCACCAGCGACTTCTAATGGTCGAGATTTTTTTTTTTATTAAAAAAAAAGACAACAAAACAAAACATGAAAGAGTTTTATCAAGGTTCCAAGTTCTATTAAGGTTCCAACGGCTCTCGGGCAGTGGGGCGTTGGCGAGGCATCTAGTGTTGTGTACTTTGGCAACACGTTGGCGAGCCATCTAGATCTAGTGTTGTACTTTGGCGACATGTCGAGCGGTGCTGATGACACTAGCAATGCGTTGCTGAGACGACGAGCTGACATTTGATGACACTCGCGATCCAACGAGCGGTTGGCGACTGAATATGGCGTACAAATTTACGTGGATTTAATTAAAGAAGTACATTGGGATGATGACGAGGAAGACCCGTTTGAGGACCGTTTCCACCTGGAAGCATCCACGTAAGTGCCGCTTTTCGAGGAGAGCGTTTTGCAGCACCATGAACTAGACGGTGCAGATCGGCCCTAGAAGGACCACTTGTGGGCCCGAACCCGGCTCCAGGGCCCGGGCCCACAGAAGAGCTTCCTCGAGCCCCCGGTTTTCTACCGGGAGGCCTCGTGCGAGATTTATGAGAACTTCTCGGATAGAAGCATGGAGGAGGAGCAGGAATTGGAGTTAGGAAAATCGAGGCTTGGCTAGACTTTCTTCATGGACGACTTAGGCGGTGGGTATTTTAATCTTCCTTTCGATGATATTTATGGGGACCGGCCAGAAACCTTCGACGGAGAAGAAACGGACCCGACGAATCTCGTTTGGTGGTTGTTCTTTCTTTTGGTTTTTGATCCCTCCCCAGTATGAAATGTCTGCAAGGTTTGCTGCTGGACTTTTTTGTGTCCTTGGAAAAAACAGTGAAAAAAATAAAAATGGGAGATCTGATCCTTTCTTGTATATATATGTCTACATAATTAAATTCTGGAACAATTTTTCTCTTTAGAATGTGAGGGGATTCCTCTAGTATTATTCTGCAGACTGATGATCATTTGTCTTTTAAGTTTAACTCTGTTTTAATCTCAGTTTAGTGTGAAACATTCTTGTTATGTGGTAGGTTTTTCTACGAAGGTATATTGTTCGAAAGTGAACTTAGACTGGCAAAGAACTAATTTTTGTAAGCATTCTCAGCGTGATATATTTTTTTCCCCTTTTTGAAGATTTATTTTTTGTTAATATGTTATTGATATTATTTCAGTGTGAGTACTGAGTATTGATTGTGTATGTTTTCCAGGAAGAGGTGTGATTTTCTTCAAGTGCATTTTTAAGTAATTTGATGCAGATATTTGATATAGTTTTTAATGAAATCTTTTTATTTGATTTGAGATAAAAATAATGAAATAATAGCAGAAATGATTTGCAAGTCCGCCATGAGAAGAGCTTCCCCCAAGTTTCTCCCTCACCTCATAAAACAACACAGCAAACACCCCAAAATCCTATCTTTTTCCGTCGATTATTCCACCTCCTCCGACCACTCTCTGCCGCGCCACCCGAAATCCCATCAGAACAAATCATTCTCCGAAACTCAACCTCCACTTCGGACTCCATGGCTTACTGCCCGGCCCGCCTCACAATTTCAGCACCCTCGCAGGCCCAATTGCCCAGGACGGGCCTCATGCAGCGGAAAATCATGGAAAGAACAGATCTCGAAGAGGCCTTTGAGTCTGCGGAGTCCATCGATGAAATGCTCGAGGCCTTCAAAGCCATGGAGACAACTTTCGAAGAGAAGGATTTAGGTTTGGCCTGTCTGAAAATTTGTCTCAAGCTGGATAAAGACGCTGATGATCCTGAAAAGGCTCTTTCATTTACTCAAAGAGCACTTAGAATTTTCGATGACTGTAATGATAGCAATACCGATCATGGCTCGAGTAATATGTTTTATCTATCGATTGCTACGACTCTGCAGTTGTTGGGTTCTTCCAGTTTTAACCTCAAAAGGTTCATCGACAGTTTGGGCTATTTGATTAGGGCAAATAGGGCGTTAGCTAAGGTGTGAGACAGAAAGTTCTGTTTACAGAGACGAACAAATTTTGCCTATTCTGCACGCAGTTCAGTTGGAGCTTTTCAACGTGAAGACAGCCATGGGCAGGAGAGAGGAAGCTATCGTTCATCTGAAAAAGTCGCTGGAGATTAAAGAAAGTACCCTCGATGAAGACAGTAAAGAGCTGGGGAAAGCCAATCAGCATATGGCCGAGGTTTTTGTTGCTGTCTTGAATTTCAAAGAGGCATTGCCCTTTTGTCTGAAGGCTCTGGACATACACAAAGAACATTTAGGACACAATTCGGTTGAAGTCGCCTATGATAAAAGACTACTCAGGATTATATACACCGGATTAGAGGATCACGAGAAGACACTCGAGCAAAACCAACTTTCTAGAAAAGTCCTAAAGAAGTAAGGACGCGACTCGGATTTGCTCCGTGCAGAAATCGATGCTGCAAACATGCAGATTGCTTTGAGCAGGCACGAAGAGGCCTTTAACACCTTGAAAGGGATCGTGCAGCAGACTGAAAAAGAAAGCGAGGATCGTGCTATGGTATTTGCAGCCATGGCGAAAGCTCTCTGCAATCAAGAGAACTTTCCGGATGCTAAGAAGTGCCTGGATATCTCGTGCGCGATTTACGAAAAGGAGATAAAGAGTTCTCCTGATGTTGTGGCGGAAGCTTTTACAGAAATCTCAACGCTTTACAAGACCATGAACGAATTCGAGACTGCCATCGCATCTTTGTTGAGGAAAACGCTAGCAATGCTCGAGAAGCTTCGTCAGGAGCAGCACTCGGTTGGGAGCGTTTTGGCTAGGATCGGTTGGCTGCTTTTGCTGACAGGGAAAGTCGAGCAGGCTGTCTCAGTTCTGGAAGATGCTGCGGAGAGATTGAAGGAGAGTTTCGGTTTGAACCATTATGGGGTGGGTTACGTGTATAATAATCTTGGGGCGGCTTATTTGGAGCCGGACAGGCCACAGTCAGCAACACAGGTATTTGCGTATGCCAAGGAGATCATGGATGTTGCGCTTGGCCCTCATCATGTGGATTCGATTGAAGCGTGCCAGAATCTCTCGAAAGCTTATGCGGCTATAGGAAGGTGAAAGTCTATAAGAAATAATTGTCAGGTTTATTGCTTTGCTTTGATGACTTTATTTTCTTGTATGCTGAAAATTAGAGTGCATTAGTTGGTCTTAAAGGTGGGGGTTTTGATTTTCTTTTTCTTTCTTTTTAAAAATTCTTTTTGTTCTGGTTTTGAGTTACTCTGTATGAAAAATTAACATGGTAAAATGATAATCCATAATTGTGAGATTGTAGTGACTTTAATCTAAATATGATGGTTGAATTTAAATAATGTTGTGGCTATTTTGCTGAATCTAAATATGTTGGTGGAATTATGTGATTTTGACTCGGACAGAAGCTTTATTCTTTTCCCGTGAAGTGAGGTAAAATTAATGCTTCAAACATAACTAATGTCCTAATTCCCTCTTGATGTTTAGAATGTGGGTTTTCAGAATCTCATAAAATGTACAAGAAAATCATCGACAAAAAATATAGTCTTGTTTTGTATGTAAATCTTCTCATTTTTTGGCAGTAACGGTCCAAGTACGCAAGAGGAGCTCGTTGAAGTTGTTCGACTGCCGGAGCATCTAAAAGAGAGAGAAGCTCGTATGAAAGCCTTCACTGCACCCGAAAAAGACATGAACCTACCTTTCCTTGCTAAATATTCACCTTCTGGAAAGACAGCTGTAGAAAGGTAAAGCCATGAAGATGCAAACTTTATTTTATCGGATCATGAAGAAAAAAAATGAGTTTACGGTGAACATGACTCTTAAAGTTAATTTGGTTTAATATTCATAGTCTTGAAGGTGTTTGAGAAAGTCCAAAAAGGCTGGCTTTGTACTAGCTTTCTATGCCTGTATGATATGCTGCTGACTTCTGAATAATGAAAGATTCTGAGTTTTTGGTTTAGAACATAGCTATTTGCAGATAATGTTAACTCGAAGAGTCTTCTCTTTTTCTTTTCTATCTGGGATCCTAACAGCTTTTAGTTTGCAAATTTATGATGTCCTTTATGTACTTGTGAATCCTACTTCAATGGAGAGAAATCCGACGAGAAATACCGCCTGATAGGCTCCACCCCTTACCGACCACCATAATCGAAACCCTACATAAGATGTTCTGATTTTATTTGGATTTTCTAGTTTTATATGGTTAATTTTGACAAAAAAAGTGTTATGGTTATTTTTTAGTGCAAAAAATAGATGCAAAGATAATTGATAAAGTGAGAAATACTAATGCAAAGAGATATGTGACACACAAACGAAGATAATGGATAAACTGCGAAATAGTTATGCGATAACCTATGTGACGGACATGCGATGATAATTGATAAATTCGATAATATTATGCGACAAACAAACGAAGATAATGGATAAAGTGCGAAATAGTTATACGATAAATTGATCTGGCATACGCTGATGAAAGATGAAAATTGTATTTTGTAATTTTCCTTTTAGCTACATACAATACGTTTCTCATTTTTGATCAGTGTATGCTCGTCCAATTCATAAAAGTCGTCGTCCCTATCGTCTTTCATCATGTTCCTTCGTTTGTTGATCTCGAATCGGCCCACGATCCTCCACCTCGTTGCTTTGCAGATTTTGATTCTTAGAAACTTTGGGAATTCAAGATGTTGAAAACCTCCTTCACGTGTTTCTGGTACAACGTTTCCGAGAGGATGATCTTCCTACGGCTTACACGAAAAATTGATAACTGAGTAGAAACTGGAACAATCTTTAAAAAAAAAAAAATGCAAGAAACTATTCTGCGACTAAAATGCGACAGACCCGTGATTGACCGAATTGTTCACTCAATATTTGCATCTGTACGCACCTACTCAATTTAATTATCTTATATATAGCATATTTTATCGTATAATTATATCGCACTTGCTGAATTATCTTCGTATGTATGTCGCATAGTTTATTGCATAATTATCTAGTGACAATCCTCACTATTCTCGTATAAGGCGAAGTTATCATAGGTATACTAGATAAATAATGATGGTTATGTGCCATCTAGGGATGCGAGTGAATGACACAGTCCTTTCTACATGCTTTATCGCTATGTTGCACCGATTCTATCTCACACTCTGTCAAGAGATCGACAAAAGGATAGGGACAGATCGACAAAAGGATAGGGACGTAAAGCCGGACAATGAAATTAATACAAAAGATTGACAAAATTATTACATAGTGATGGAGTTGTGGTTGAAATATTTTGGGCTTCATTCATATATTATTTATATTGACACATAACTTTTCAAGTTGCAACATAATCATTTATGTAGACGGTAGTATTTTTTGATACGTTACTTTTCAAGGCTACACAAAGGATTTATTGATAATCTTTGAATAAATTTTTGATACGTTACTTTTCAAGGCATGCACAAAGGATTTATTGATAATCTTTGAATATTGTTAAATTTTAACATATTTTAAAACGAAGTCTAAATTAATAGTTATTTTACTATGAATTAAATAAATATACAAATCATACATTATAATATTTTATATAACAATATACAAAAATATTATAAATATTGAAAATTATTTTTATATTAGTTAATATTTCTCTATTAATTTAATTCATAAAATTGATTATTACCAACACATCTTACAGATTAGGACTGAAGCGCAGATCAACATATAATGAACCAGACCATATACGCCATAATTGGCATGGT